GTGGTACAGGGAGAAAGAGAAGATAAAACAGACATGCTGACGCGGACTTGTACGCAGGGTTGATGATCAGGGAAAAGAAAATGAACGAGGATAGGGGGTAATGAATGTATGGGCAGATGAGACTGTACACAGAGCTAGCTTATCTTTTTCATTTGAACTCTATACCGGGATACTGTAAATAAAGATTAGGGAAAATAGTAATGGTGCAACCAATGGGAAAGAACTGAGAGACCAGTTCATCCGAGAACACATCACAGACTCATGTGTCTTGTTCATCGCTCTCAGCGAGTCGAAGGAGAAATTCCCCATCGCCTTCGCTGCCAGTCATCTAGTGTGGTGACTGGGCCGAGGGGACCAAATTGCAATAGACCAAAGAATGCCGGCGAGACAGGTTTGTCTTGCCTGACACGACAGCCACAGGTGCAAAGTCTGAGCTGACAGTGTACACTTTGGGTAGTTTGCGACGTCTTCGTTTCGGCTGAGCCCCAAAGTGTTTGGGTGAGGCGTGAACACCGAGATCGATTAGGTCACGCTGACTGCCGAGCGTGGGTGTCGTGGAACAGAGAAATACTGCATCATCCAGTGGCTCCATTCCCGGCGAAGGACAAAGGCGTTGGTATGAATTAGCTCTGCCAACCCAACGTATTTCACCAACCGAAGATGCAGGTACAGCACGGACCCGAGGCTGTGGAGACAGTGGGGATGGTAATGACTGAGGTGGTGATGATGGTGTGTCCAGAGGATCGCGGAAACCCTCGAGCCTTTGCTTCATAGATCCATGGGAGCGCTAAAGGTACCAAACAGAAAATCGGGTGACTTTAATGTACACTTTGGTTGAGGCCCAAAATGATAAACGGAAGAATAGATTTGTCATACGTGTCTGTTGTGAAGCATTCACGCATGAATTGTTTCTGCATGATTGGTTAATTTCCTATTCACTGTATTGACTATCGCGCATGACGTGTATGAGCTTTGCTTTTTCATTGACTATACTGACTATGAATCAAGAAGACCAATTAAGGCTGTTCTGTTCTCAATAAACTGTTGCTTCAACTAAAAAAGGACTGATCTATTTGGGGAAGTCTAATAAGGATAGTTTAATCGTGTATAGCGGGTTGGACTGTACATGTCTCTTCAAACAAGAAGGACAACACCCTAAGGTGTGTGTGGGAGGGGGTTTCCATCGAAAATAACAAGACGTGTACGGGGTCTTTCGCCATAGCAATCGAGTGTAAAACCGATGAACTGCAATTGAAGACGGAACTGGGACTAGCTTGAATGGCTAATTTTACTCAATGTGTGAGACCAGGTCGACAACAGCGGTAACATACACACCAGTCATGCGAGAATTCCACGGATCTAGCTATGGGTGGGCAAGTGGATAAAGGAGCCACTAACTCATTCCAAGCGCAGAGCGAAAATTGAACCTTGTATTTTCCACATGTACGGTTAACTGAATCACTTTTTCTCTCGCTGTGGTGTGTGTGTGAGTATAAAGTCTTATGGATGTTACACCATCTTGCAAACAAAGTAAGCCAATTTGGGGACGGTGAAATCACAGGAACGTTGCAAAACTCATTTGCACGGGTGCAATTCACGATTTGACTACTGAACAATTTCTGTGCTCATTAATGCTGACCTGGCTCATACGAATAATACACGACTGTCGGAAATGGTCGGTTTTGTTAGCGCTAATGGAAGAGCTCCGCTTAAAGGGGCAGATAGAGGATGATGAGGGGAAGGAAAAAAGGAGAAGAAAAGTTAACTGATATCAGTTACTAACGGGAGCGAAATGAATAAGCAAGCTGAATTTTGTGGAATTTAATAATATGAGTGTGGGTGTGTGAATATATATATATATATATATATCGAGAGTGCTGCAATTCACCCGTGATTTAGTGAGCACACGTGTGTGGCGGTATGGAAGGAAAAAAAGGCAAAACAACGGAGGAGAAAAAACAAACACAAGTCATCAGCGTTTGAGTTAGACAAGCCAGTTAGTCGCTGAAACAAACGTACCCAATCCAGTCGAGTTGAGAAAGCGTCACAACGATCCTGCTGAATACAATAAAGCATTCGACTGTTCAGCAATTAGCGCGACAGGTTACTGACATAGTGTGAATGAGTCAGTATCTAGTTTACAATGAGATAAAAACCAATGGAACAAGTCGGACGGGAAAATAATGCTCCCGTTCGTCCCCAGGCAAAAACAATACTGGTGAATGGGATGATCTCACGGTGATTCTGAAATTCTCACAAGGTAAAATTATTCGAACTAAACAGCTTAATAGATCAACACTCACTTTGTTCTCTTTTGGGACCAAGTTATGAGTCAGTGTCTCGGGTCCGACTACAATCTGATCGGCATCCGTTTGTCGAGATCCGTGTTTGCCCGATTTCGAGGGAAGCGTCGCACAAGATGTGATACACTGTTCTGTGTACCGCGCTGTCGGTGAGGACTCAGATGCATTTCGCCTACGCTTCCCGGAGCTTAACAGTGGCCGCGTGTGTCGTGCCTCCATTTCCGGTGTTTGTGGGAGAACCGAGGCACTTTCAGGAGCCGCTCCCACCGGAACAACAGTACATGTGGGGATGGGAACCAGACAGGGAGAGACGCCGGTTGGTGCGGTGTTATTTGACCGATTATGTTGAGATGACTCGTGCTTGGCTCGCAGGCGGCGTTCCACTTCGGGAAGAATCAACGCTGCCGTGAGATCCGACAAAACCAAACTAGGACAGTCGAACGAGGCAGACAAATCACGATCATATTTGGATGAGTCAGTTTCCAATTCCGGACAGGGTCGTTCATTAGCTACGGCCAATGACCAGGTTTCATGCACCACGGGTGATGGAACCCAATTTGTAGAACTAGGTACAGGTGACGCATCCGCGGCTGAGACTGCACTAAATTCATCTAGGTTGTCACAACTGACCGTAGGCATTGGCATTGTGGAGGATGAATCGACTCGGCTCAAAAGCCGTGAATTAGGGGACAGGGCTTCGGAGATAGGATCTTCTCCGGGGTCATCTGGTACAGGCCAATCGAGTGAATCCCATTCATGTGGAGCGGAGTACGTGGTGAAATTGCTCGGCCCGGAAGCATCACCCCACATCCCAGGGCGATCTTCTTTGAGTAGCTCCATAAGTATATCGTCCGGGATCAAATCCAATGCAGACAGGAGATTTCGATGATCAGTCAGGTCCACATGACCTAGTTAGTAAATTAATGAGAATAGGGAGAAGACAAATACAAATAATTTTACTGCCATTTCTAATTGTGCACCCAACGGAAGTCTCCGGATTTGCCAAATAACGAACATTTTGCATTATACACCACCAGGAAAATGATACAGTCAGTGAAGGGATTGCGAGAAACGTGGAAAAACAGACAACAGAAAACAACAAACACGTCACAGAGGGGGAATGATCTCTCTCAAATATTGTTGAATCCGTTCGCAAATCTATCCACTTGCAGGTCCACAAGTGTTTAGTCACATGCCATTGTTTGAACTCATAATTCTCATTGTTTATTCAATATTTCTAGCTCAGACATCAGCCTGCCGTTTCCTACCAGTGAACCCCTGCTACTCTGTTCGCCTTTCATACCCGTGAAGTCTTACCCTCACTCGTGACTTGTGTTCCCACCCATGGTGTATGGCTTGCTCTTAATTGTTGTCCAGTTTGTGTTTCGATGTGCTTAATATTAGTTCAATCGAGTCTCTAACCCACCCAGGTGGTGGGTTGACCTGATCCGTCTGCATGTGAATGCACTCTGACGTTAGCTTAGTTGCAAGGTCGGCATGGCTTTTGGCTGATTTAAGCATATCCTCAGGGAAACGCCACGATTTGAGGTGTCTGGCTGATGTACATTGCAACGCGTCATTTAAAAAAAAAAATAGCATATTAGTATTCACTGTTTCGTTGGAGTTGAATACACCCCGGAGAACAATCGGGTTGTGTACGGTACTTTGTGTTGGTTCGAATTTGGTGAATACCGTAAGGAGCATGATGAGACAAACCAGACAGGAAAGTCACAATGAGAATTCAGATCACCAAGTCATCCGTCAAAGAAAATCATGACAAGTAGAGGAATAGAAGCTGAGTTTTGTGATTCTATCGGTTGAAAGTCGAACCAAACTGATTATCTGCCCCCCTCCCCCAGTTTCAGACCAACGAGTTTGCGGTTGACCGCACAGTGCAACAAAGCTCGAGGAATCGACCAACACAAAGTGACAGTAAATTGAATTCGAGTACCATCGCACATCACCGATATTCGATCAGAGTGCACGCAGGCGCATGTGGAGACGTATGCTGACTGAATGATTACATGTTGTTTGCGGAAGGGAAACCAAGTGATTCGATCCCGGGTCAACTGGCAATGACTGTGAAGCGGGGTTGCGGGTACATGGGAATCGATGACACAGTGAAGCTCAAACGAGAATATACCATTCTGCATAGAGAATAATAGTGATTATTTGGGTCCCTGTTTCCATACTCAGAATTTGCATGAGAGCCTTGTGCTTTTCGAAGATCACAGGGCACTGAGTACGCTGACAACGCAAACAACACGCGTGGACGAAGTGGGGAATAGGGAGAGAACCTGACAATATGAATAAATTCTACACGATCGCATTTTATCGTTCAGAATACAAGGAACGCAAGTCATCTACTCCATTGGAGTAAAGATAACCGCCACATAAGAAACAGACCAAAGTACAGTTGAGATCAGAAATGGATGCGTAACATCGATAGAAGCACCGCATCCAATTTGTACAGGAGTTGATAACCAATCTTTACAACGGAGAGTAAGGTTGATTAGCAGTGGCTGTCCCTGGATTTATTAAGATCAAAGAGGTAGAGTATAGGCAGAGTCAACACAAAATTTGAGAACTCATTTAAGGTCCATAAGCATAATGCTAGCTTTCGGGCATTCAGAGTAGCAAAGAATAGGCGGTGGGGTGGGCGGGCACATGAACGAAGTCGACGTACACACAAACAGTACAACATTGGGAACAAGTGATCTGGAAGTAGGAGCACACTGCTGACAAACGAAGAAAAAAGCACACACAAAGGGTGCAACTAAAATTCCGGTGAAACACCACCTCGACCTCCAGGTCTCTTATTACATATTCCATCTCGTCGCTGAAAGGGATCAAGAGTCCGTCCCGTAGCTATCCTAGTATGATGCAATTTACCTAGTGTTATTCAGGTGCGCTTGCATGATAAACATAAGAGAAGGTAAACTCCACATTCATGAAGATTTTCTGTTCACCGAGGACAGCCGGCAATCTGCACCTTGGGACTGAAGGTGACTAAGTTCATGAGGCCCTATGAGGCCAGTAGTGAAATTGAGCCGGATAACAGTCAAGCTATCTACCACCAAAGTCGGATGCTAATAGTGAAGTTCGAACGTTGAAGTGGTGGTGGCGCAGTGGCTTAGTTGCTGTCCCCGGCGTGCTTTGGACCCTATGGTTCGAGCCCCGCCTCCGCCACCCGAATTTAGTGGTAGACAGCTCTGCTCTCGTCCGGTTCAATACCACGCCTAACTTATCGGGGCCTTATGTGGTTCACCACTCCAAGTCCCGGGGCTTGGGTTGCGGGTTTCCACCGCTGAGCAGCAGTTCATCGTGACTATGGGGTTCGCCCCGTCTGCTATTCATCACACGTAGGTGTGTAATAAAAATAATTGAAAGCATACCAATAACAGTGACTTATACCACATGACCACCAACACCACATAACTATGGAAAGTAGGAAACTTGGCATCAACAAACTTATCATGTACAGAAAAGTCATGAAGCGAAAAGCTTACAAATAAAACGCATCAAGCTCTTAATTCGCTCGCTCTATTATCCTCTCACCCAGAGGTTAACACACACTCGGTTTGACCATGACATCGAAGTGTCGAACCTCTGTGCACAGTGATATACAGCACGAAAGAAGAACTGTCACAGATTAGAAGTCTTCGATCACCAGTGCTTAGGAATCATTCTGGGAGCACGATGGAAGGACCAACTCTGAAATGAAGTGGTTAGAAATAAGTGTTTTAAGCTTGTACGGCTGAGGATGCTAATGCAACGGCGGCGACTACAATGGTTTGGTCACATTCTGGGTAAATCCGATATCGACCTGACAAAAGCTGTCTCGGTACCGCCTCCATGCCCGAATTGGCGCTGTCGGCACGGTGGACAGCTGAAAACCCTGGTCTCCGTTCCGTCTACGGCGTTCGACAAAGGAAGTCAAACTGGATCACAATCTGCGCTGATCTTGCCGCAGATCGCCGAGCGTGGGCAGCGGAAATCCGAAATATCCATGAAGCCGGGTTATCCTCTCCCAGGAGCCAGCCGCCGTAAAGTAAGTAAATAAGTAGAGAGGTGCTTCGTTCGCGCTCCCGCGTTGGATTTACGCCCCACTGCATTGTAGGTCAGACTTTTGAGTCAAAGACTCCGGTTAGGGTTCCCAAAGAAAAACCCCTTCGTCGGTGTAGGCAACCGCAAAGTATGCAGTGCCCAAAAGTCTTAGGTACCCATTTGGAAAACTATCATCCTCAACAGTCCACTTCCTCTTCTCACTCCCAAACCTTAACAGATGCATTCTGTTTGCGCCATCCATGGGATATCACTCAGCGTTCAACTAATGAGGTAAAACACTCAGAGGCTATCAGATTTTTGAAACCCAAATCTCCTTTTTACTCAGTCGCATTTAATGTCCGCACGCTCTACTAGATCGGTCAACAAGCTGTCTTAGCTAGAACCCTTGAAACCCGGAACAAGACCCTACTTCAATCATCTTGCGTTCTCCAAATCCGACCTCATCCTCACGCTTCACTGTCCGTGTGTCAGACGACTCGGCATCCGAAGCTCACGGTGTTGCTGGTGTTGGGATTGTACTAAGTATTAAAGCCAAGCGTTCACTTCTGGACTGAATCTCGGTTAATAGCCGACTTTGTGCCGTACGTTTGGATAGTTCAATACGGGTTAACAGCTACAGAATGAAGCGTCCATGCTTATTCCTTGTATCCGCGTATGCACCGACAGATTGCAGTTCACCAGAACTGAAGGATGAATTGTACAAGGACTTCACTCAACTGCTCCAAAGTGCTCGGTCCACGGACATTGTGGTAGTCGCTGGAGACTTCAATGCCCAAGTGGGATCCCTGGACGAATCAGAGAGGCTACTTGGTGGTTCACATGTAATCCCAGCCAACACGACTGACAACGGAGAATGCCTACTTCAACTTTGTGCTGACCACGGACTTTTTCTGTCAAGCACGAACTTCTCGTGCAAAAAACGTCACATGGAGACCGCCAACTTTTTCACATCGCTGGACTCAAATCGATCACATCACCATCAGCCACCGCTGGTGAGGATCCATTGAAGACCGCCGCTCCTACTGGTTAACATCCATGGACACGGATCATACTCTGCTGCTAGCGAGATTCTCCATACGCCTAGTAAACAACCGCAGAAAGGCTACCGAAAACGGAGCAAGTCGACCTTCATAGATTACGCTGGTTGGGACATGTGCTACGCATGTCACCAGATAGGTTGCCAGGGCGAGCGATGTTCGCCGAAGCAGACACCGATTGGAAAAAGGTCAAGGATGGTCAAACTAAGACGTGGCATGAGGGTATAAAAACCCTGACCAGGAGACTGGCTCACATAGGTCTCGTTAGGCTCCCAGGCTGGGGACTCCGAGATCATAGTCACTGAGCGATATGGCTGGGTGTCGCAAACAGTGGCGCTCATGAATTTACTCATTATTATTGTAACTTCCATCTATGTGAATGCGCTATCCACCGCTTCAATCTACTCTCAACATTCTAATCATCATTCTGTTGTTTTATGCAAATGGGCGACCAAAAGACAGCAACCAAAACCGGCGCACGAATGTGCATGGTTAATCGTTGTAAGAACAAAACAGAATGGTACTGATGTGAAAGGAATCGGTCGATATTTGAAAAATCCTTGTTTGAGGATGGTGTTATCCGGGCAGCTCTCCAACAATCAGGGATACTTCCAGATGACATACACAAACCGAACAACTAGGAAATAGGTGAAGAAAGTTGTTCGGCACACACTTTCAGCAGGACGGGCGATAATGAATCACGGCCATGTGTTTAGTTGGATTTAAGGGACTTCAGCACCTTCAAAACTTCCACCTGGTTGATAGTGGCTCTCTCCAGTAGATGCAAATGAAGACGATGTTAAGTTCGCATTCGTGAATTGACGGGTTAATTCCTCAACGTCCGGGAAAGGGCTAATGCATGATCCAAACAGCTGCTTCAAGGCAGACCACATATCACGGCAGTTATTGTTTCCAATGAGTTTCAATATATCGATTTAGGCGTAGTATTTCCATTATGATTGATAATGACAGATGTTTGACAGCACTGCGCGTTCCAGTCATGTAAGCTTTTTCTTAATAACGACGGAGCCGTCGCAGAACAGGCGAAGAGAAGCTTTCACTTCGAATGTACAAAGTCTCACCTGGGCAACACAGATCATAGCAAAAATTGGGATAACATGTAGGATGTTCATAACTGGAAGAGTTAGAAGTGACGAAAGGAACCACTCCGCCACTTCTGTAAGGGAAGTTCAACATTCGATCGCCTCGAAAGATGTCGAATTCATTAAGACACACGGCGTTGTCCCCAATATTGGGATATAGCCAACTTTTCTGGAGTAGAATCGTTCCTACCTTNTGAGTTTTCCCATAAGTGGACGAATGTTACTTGAGATAATAGAGGGAACGGTCAAATTGTCAACGGAACGCCGCCCAGCCGAGACGCGCCAGTCAACACCGTATTTATTATGGTTGCCTTGAGCATGTTTTCGCAATCTTTTGAAGCGATTTTTTATGGAATGGGCACAAGTCAGAAACTGATGTTTCTGAGCAATACACTGCAAAGATTTCAAAAACGTGGCACTCGAATAGCATTTGACCTTGAAATTTCAACGAAATGATTCAAAAGTGATGCCCGAAGGTCCGGGCCGAATTCAAAGGCCCGGTTAAAAGTCAACAGGTTGTACAAATCTATTATATGGGAACTGATAAATGGGATGGACAGAAAAGACCTTATCACTCCACTAGCGTAATTGAATGCGCGCGTAGAGGTGATGATTTAAAAGAAGTTGTCAAACACTTCAGCATTAAGATCAAAACATGTGATGTAGCTACGGATCGAGAAAAAACACTCAAACAAGAATCCTACAAGACAAAATCCAACGAAGAGTACACAAAATGTTTGTGTGATATCAATGAGATCCCTAAAACCACATTGAGGCAGTTAAAGGAAAGAATGAAGAAGGGCTTCGCGAGCACAGATATCAGCAGGACTTCGATTGATCGGTTGTTGGATGAAGATCACTATTCGGTCAAGAAGCTGACCATCCAGCCCGTGGAACGGAACTTGGAAACTGTCAAAGTAAAACGATCGGAATATGCCGATTGGTTATAGTGATCGGGTGACGCAACACTGAGGCTGTATATTGCCGGGACCAACCACGACATATGATGCTGTCACAGCTATGGACGATCCAAGATGGCTGTAGAGCCATTCGAAGCCTCCCATCCAACAAAGAACCCAACTTGAACAAAATAGTATGGACACTAGTCACCGATATCTTGAAATATGAATGTCATACAAAGATTACTGGGCATGTTTTCAATGGGGCTCCATCAAGCTGCTCCACGTCAGTCACTACTGAGCAACCGGGCGGCCCAGTTGTTTTTATCTTTGAAAATGCGCCCGTTCATCGGAGGGCTTGGGATGCGCAGTCACATGCCAACCGCCAAATTTAATTTCTTCAACAATGCAGTCCCGGTGGGAGAGGTTTTCAGTAAACTCAATCTAAATTCTTTAATTCGTTTATTATTTAGCACATTAAAAACTGGCTCACTGAACACACCGAAGTCATACGAAATATGTCAAATGGTTTGACTATGCGTTCAAAACCATCTTCAATCATGTAGTGCGGCATTTGATACCATTATCACGGTTAACTGAGTAGCACACAGTCGCAACACCTGCTCATTTCTGAACCAAACAGCAACATTTCTGGATAATCAAATGTTTCAACATTCGTTGACCTCAGAATATCCCGATACTTTTTGATCTGACTTGCCTACAGCTGCACGATTAAAGTTTGTGCGTCGAGGCTCAAGGACTACGGGGCGTGGTTGAAGCATCAAGGGTTTTCGTTGAAGGAAGGTGGGTCAAGGCTAAAGGATTGTGGATTTTGGTTAGAGCTTGATAGGAAAAGGCGTTGTATTGTTAGTCATCAGCGATCATGTGTAATTTAACACATAAAAACGTGGTAATAAAACGTATAAACGAGCCGAAGAATGACAAACGATCTGATTGTGCACGGTAAGGTGGTATGTAAACATCAGTGAAAATTGTGTGAGTAAAACGAAGAAATCTTGGGTGAAATTTCACGGTTAGACACTCAGTACTTATTGAGCAGCACTGGAAAATAACACGAGACTTGCCACACCAGGAAACGTTGACAGATTTTACAGAACCCACTCTAATTTCCTTTCCTCCGGTTCCACAATCCTCTGGGTTAAACTGAAAACCATCTATCGACAATACAGTGTCACCTATATCCCTATTTAGTCAGGATTCCTATACACTGATTACACAAGTATTCGTGTGAATTCTTGAAGATTTTTGAAAACAAGGACCGAATGTTAGTGCTGGTCAATGAAGGAAGAGTCATCTTGGCCAGATGAGTGCAATTAAGGGTAGCTTGTCAGTCTGTACACTTGCTTTTTCTGGTTCAGGCTGGGCAGTAAGAAACTGGATCCGCACGAGCCGATGAATCATAAAAGGATGTAGTAGCACGTTCAAGACAAACAACGTAATCTCATGAGTAGCAACAACGCGGTATGTTGAATGAAAATGTGGAGATTCCAATAATTTGACGGGGAGCGTGTAAGTGCAGCGCAACCAATTGAAGGGTGCGCGCGTTCTCGATACGGAGATCACAACAATAATTAATTCATATTGTTCAGCTTTCGACTCCGAGGAGTGACTCAAATGAGCAGGGATTGAGACCGGATGGTACTGCGTGCGAACACGCTGCACGTCCTTACGTTTGAGCATTTCATCTGCACAGTACGAGTAGTATTTTTGGTGAAAAAGCTATCTCGATCAACCAAGATGAATAAACTGCCGGAACAAATGTCATGAATCACGGGAAGACTACAACGCGAGAGGTGATAAATTAGAAGTGCCATTGCTACCCTTAGAACCCACATCCTAACCGTACAACTGAACGAATACGAAAGCTTGTACCATGATCTGTTTCGCGTATCTGTTAAACCTCGACTAGTATGAGATAAAACGAAAACAACACTGAAACTAACCTCCATCAAACGTGATTGATGTTGGACAAGCCGAATCGACCATCACCGGTCCGCCTGGATGCAGCTTGTCTACCCTAGATTCGGCAATTGCTTGCGTTGACGCAATCAGGGGAGTGGTTGTTGGTGTACGATCCGGACCGACAACTACGTCTGTTGTTTCATCCTGACCCACATCAATCGGTGCATCATCCGAGGCCGGAACATCCACTAGAAGGGTATTGTTCGAGGATCTCAATACGAGGATAGACGTATCAGACAGTGCACGAGCCTCCTTAATGGTAGCAGCAGTGGTGCCCGCGGAAACCTGTGGAACACTTGGAATAGCCTGAATGTTTCCATAGCTAACGCCTGGATCCACACGGGATGAATGTGGTTCGGTCGATGCTGAACGGAATGGGACGGTATCCGCATCGGTGCTGGTTAGATTGGGGTAAACTTCATCCCGTCGATCTCCGGTCGGATAGGACAGACGAACTGGGGTAGAAGTGGTACAAGCACCGATCGATTGTTCCACCGGATCTTCCAGGGAGGGGTTGTTTTCCGAAGCTCCGCCAACACTTGGTACAGTCGTCCCAGTCGGTTTGACGGCATTATCCGTGGGCTGGACAGGATTGGTGGTTTCCGATCCGGTGGCCACGATCGGTTCGGATGAGAACAATCCACTCAAATCCCCAGGCAAGTAGCCAAACAAATGTCGATTGAAGTGAGCCTGGAACGAGACCTCGTCCGGACAAACAGTCTGACAGTCTTTTAGGGGGCAGGCAAATATCAATCGAACCAGTTGATTTTGTACTGAAATGGGAACAAACCGGAGGAGAGAAACAAAATTCTATTATCGATCCGATCGATGAATACGGTCTGATGCAACGAACGAGAATAACCGAGCAACAGCAGGGAGCATAGCGAATCTACATAAACGGAGGAAGAGTGAAAACGCATGCGATCCAAATGACAAAAACTGCAACAGCATCTGTTTGTGCGTGTGGGGTGGCGGGGGAGATGAGTGCATAAGTTTTCCGTTGCTTCACACCACAGTTTCGATTCGTTTGCCTGTCGCATACTATGAACGGAATTCTCTGGGCGATGAACGCATATACAAAGTGGATATTTGACCACATAAAGTGTACTGGACATGCAACAACCTCTCAAGTGAAGTGACACACGCATACCGATTTGGAGATCTGGCATGCGAATGTCAGCGTTATTTCAAATTCGGGTTATACAAGTTAGTACCAACTACAGAGTCAGGGTTTGTGGTTGCTATCTTTCAGTTAAATCAAACGGGATGCAAAAGTACACCTTTAAAATAAAAAGGACGAGGAGAGCAGGGATTGAAGGAGAAAAGAAAGTGGCTGATTGTGTAATACGGTATCTCTACAAACAAGATGGTAGGCAGGGGAGTGAACCTAGTCATCGAGCAATAACAACAAAAACGATACTATCATAGAGAAGAATAAATTTTACTGCTTTCTATCTTTTTAGTGGGTGAACAGAAAAAATCAGCTCACTAGAGATAAAGTAACCTACATGGTACGATACAAACCCATCGACAATCCTTTATGGTCCCACTACATTATTAAACGTTTGCAGACGATTATTTTACGCGTTCAGACTAAGAAAATTTAGAGTCCTATTAAGTGCGCTATCTCAACCAAAATAACTATACACATTCAGAGGTAGACCACTAGTCAGTCTTCCTTAACTCACAAATAAGATGGGTAGCGCGACACTGAGCAGAACGACATTGATAAAAAATGACCAATGTGTGATCAAGATCTGTTCATTTATTATAAACATGGGGGGCAACTGTAAAGACGCTATTCCAATTATTGTGCCATCGAAGAAATATGAAGCGACCAGCTTTCTCTTTAACGGATTGAGACGCTCGAGTTCTTCGCATATTTCCCTAAAACTCAAACCCCAGGCGTTCAGCCTAACCGAATGCGCTTTTTCAACTGACTAACACACCCATGACTTGTTTTCCCGAGCAGCGAAAGGTCAAAACAAAGCGATCGGGTAAGTGTGTGAATGGACCGGGGAGTTGTGATATCACGGTTTGTCACACGACACAATTTCATCGGATCAGAGTGCAACTGAATTGCAGCCGAATTTTCCAACCAGCAGTGTATTTAATACTTAGTGAATCACCGGGGTATATGTTAACGGCTCCACACATTAACCATATATCCGAGAGGTAAACCAGTGTTTTTTAGAGAATCAAGCTTGAATTAGCCCAGGTACCACGCACTCCTGATGGTCTTCGGTGTGGGTTTCACTCCTTGGGAGATCGTTAATTCCCCACGAGATAATGCATTTAAATGCGATGGAAATGTTTAAGATAACCAACAAAGAGCACTGGACAGCTGTTTCGTCCTGTTTGGGACTCGTCAGCAGTGCGTACTTTTTGTGTCCCTGTCAGGACTCGAACCGCGATCAGTTGGGTCGGGACTTCAAACCCCTACCCCTGAGCTACACGGCCGACGGTCATCAAGGTGATAAACATTCAAAGTGGATAAATGAACAGCAAGTCTAGAGGTGTTATGCAGCACACACAAACCGGGAATTTTTCCACATAGTGCGGGTTGGGTGGGGGCTAAATATCATTTCAAAATGAGGCAAAGATATTTTCTCAATGCAGCTGATTGTGAGGGAATGAACTAGATGGTCAGTTACACGACCTCACTGTTCGGGAATGAGATCTGCTGACCCTTCTGCCAGCAGAACAGACTGACAGTGTTCAATCTTGCCTTAGAATTATCTTATGCAGACTGAAGACCGGGAAGCAATTCCGTTGCATGACAATCACGCTCGATCGCGCATTTCGCACTGTCGCAGACAACGTCGAATGGGACGATTTACAAACGAGAGCGAGTTGAGGCAAACACATGCCACAGCATGTGAGTCTCTGTCAATACTAACTCGAATGCATACACACACACGTACAGAGAGACCTGAACGAAAATCATACAGTGTTAACCCGTTCAGTTGACTCAATGCGTGAACACAAACCTCACTCAAACACCGATAGGTTTTATCCACAATTTACCGCACCTATTCTAGCCACCAGTCTGTGACACTGTACGGTTAGAATGATCAAACCTATTTTCCGCATATACTCGTCTGGCCCAACAGGCATGCACACGAATAACTAACTCATCGATGCATGTGACTGTCGCATGAGGAACAATCGTTTTGTACACGTAAATCATCATTGGGCTATATGAATAAAAATACAAGTGGTGTGAACAAGATGGAATAATCTCACGAGTACTTGGATGGATGATACGTTGTTGTCCGGGAGGAACATGGGAAGAAGGTATCGGACCAGAACAACTAAGTCAATCGATCGGGGTGGTAAACACTAAGGATCGTAACGATTCGTATGATCGAATCTCAAGATGAAGCTTGCTCATAGAATTGCTTATTCCAGGCCGGTGGTACGTCAAATTATATCACGATACTATTACCATAGCAGCAATATGTTAAAAATACTATCCAAAAAAAGTTCAATTGAAAAAAGCAACCATTGCCTATCGATTTGATGATCGAAATAATTCCTGAAAAGAAGTAAATGAACAGTATAGAGAGAGAGAGAGACGAAACTGTATCTATATAGGATAAATGGACAGCGCGTTGGTATGGGCGAATTTCCAGATTCAGACAGTCCCGTCAATGGGCACATATAGTTGAGACAGACGATCACGTGTAATGAATGGGAAACTATCGTTTTCCACGCACTAACGTATGACAGAAGGGATAAAAAAAACTATCTATACAGATTGACCTAGGTGGCAGTCACGTGACCGGATGCTGCACTGTCTACCCGGGGCCCACGAAGAATGCAGTCGGTGCAGACAACTCGTCGTGAAGGGATTGAATGTCAGCATTCACTTAACATCATTATACATAACAAATAATTCAATAACAAAACAAATGCAACCTAACGAAAAAGAACCAAGAATATAGACAATTGATACAGTCGTTTATTTGGATGCTTGATTAATGACCGTTCAAGTAGTTCAGGTCTCGTCATGAAGGATAACGAAACGGAAAATACAAAGCGACCGCAAGCGAATGATACCTATCTGGATCACAGTAAAAAAATACTTGAACAATCTATGCTCACTATTCTTCGAAATTCGATAAGAATCAATCTGAATATTAAAAAAATAGAATAATTCTATAGGTAGTTATTTTGTACGACCACATGATCTAACCACCCACCCGCCCTTCTTTTCCGAATAGTCTGATGCGACACCATGTTATAACGCATACTTGGAATAAATACGTCGAACCTTTCAACGTTCATTCAATTGGAAATTAGCTGCTGGAACGTGTCAATGGTGTACAACTCCCAGCCAAACGGAAAGGCATATTTGCAAAAATGTTGATGAATGGAGAAGTAAACTTACAACTAGATTCTGGCGCGTCCGTGAACATAATACCGAGAAATTGCATACCCGATACCAAATTGGACCCTACCGAAACGAGATTGGTTATGTGGAACGGTGCAAACGTGTAGCCGAAAGGAGAAACCACTATTACACTGAAGAATCCCAGAAGCGGAATCTCTACTGCCGTGAGTTTTGTCGTCGTGGAGCCGGGTTATGTTTCAATCCTGGGATACGAATCTATCGAGCGACTTGGTCTGGTATCGTTTAACTACGATTCATTTGTTCATCACATTTGTAAAGACACTGAATACTACCTGAAAAAATATGCCTCCGTTTTTGATGGAAAACTGGGAAAGTTGCCAGGAACTGTGACACTTCATATAAACGACGCTGCCGAGCCTGTTGTTTTACCAACACAGCGGATCCCACTCGCTGTTCGAGATGAATTTTCGCGTGAAGTGAATGATTTTATCGCAAAGGGCGTTCTGGAGAAAGTCGATGAACCAACGGACTGGGTAAGTCAGGTTCTGGTGGTGACGAAAAAGTCTGGGGAATTGAGAATATGTATCGGCCCGAAACCATTAAACAAGGCGTTAAGACGGGAGCACTTTACGCTGCCCA